AAAAAAAAAAAAAAAAAAAAATAGTTCTAAAGCTAATCTTAATCACCCTTGCTCACCACCACCACCAAATCTGTTCTTTTCCTAGTATTCCTCATTTCAGTAACTCCATCCTTCCCAGTGTTCAGGCCAAAACTTTGCTGTGTCATCCTTGACTCCTTTTCTTACTCTCATAGCACCCAACAAATCCATTAGCTAATTCTGTTGATTCCATCTTCAAAATATATCTACAATCTGACAGCCTCTCACCACCTCCAATGCTAAGGTCCTGTTCATGGTCTCTGTCATCCTTTGTCTAAAGGACTGTAACAATCTTCTAGCTGGTCTCTCTGCTTCTATTCCCTGCTCTTCTTTTTGTCTATTCTCAAAGTAGCAGCCTCAGTGATCTGGATTAAAAGAAACCAACCAATTCATTCATTTGCATAAATCTCTCCAATGACTTTCTGACTAAAAGCTACAGTTATTACAGCAGCCCCCAACGCTTCCTGTGATATTCACTCCAAGCCTCTCCATCTGCTATCATCTCCAAAAATGCTCCCCCTAGCCACTTCTGCTTTAGCTAAAATGGCCTCCTTGCTGTTCTTGAACAAAAAGGTTCATAACTCCCACTTCACAGCTTTTGTACCTGCCATTCTCTCTATTCTTTCTCCAAATATCTCTATGTCATCTTTAGCCTCCTCTGTACCCAAATCACATCTTTTTTGAAACCCCTTCCCTTCCCATCAGAGGCTACCTATCTTCCATTTTTCCTTTCTTCATAGCATTTTACCTACTATATATTTTACTGGTCTTTTTCCTTTAACTATAATGTGAGCCCCACAACTACAAATGTCTATCTGTACAGTTCAATAACATATCTTTGACATTAACATGGTGCTTGGCATATGGGGGAAGGGCTCAATAAATATTTGCTCAGTCAGTAATATTAATGCCATATTTTCTTTTTAAAAATGAGCCTTTGGCAGGATTACAATCAATTAAAAAAAAAACCCATGTATATCTCTTGTGTACTCATATGTGAAATAAGAAAAGAAACAAGCAGTAAAATTGAAAACCCTTACTTTTCTTCTTCTGTGTAAAGCAGTGGTTCTCAACCTTTCTAGTGCCTGGACCCTTTAATACAGTTCCTGTGGGTCATGACCCACAGTTTGAGAACCACTGGTATAAAGGGTTATTATGATGCAATAAATAAATAAAATAACAAGGCCACTCCTTAAAGTTGCTTCATGAGTAATCCTCAGATCTAATCTTCAAATGCTTTCATTTCAAATTAGTAGCCATTACATTTTCAAATAATGGCTTCAAACTTGAAAAAGTTAAGCTTTAGGAAACTTGTACATATGTAATACCTAACAAAAACCATTGCCATTCTCCTTCCCTTTTAAAAGTCTTTAGTGCTCGTAACACTGTTTATGTCTGATAAAGTACTGCCATCTTGGTACGTCACCACAGAGTATGTCATACAGACTGCTATTTATTTCATGTGAAATGTGTATCCCTGAAGTAACTTCAAATTCATCGAGGACAGAGATCATAATGATCTACAACTCTCACAGAAACCTAGCATAGCACTAAATACAGCGAAGCACATTCATGTTTTTGCAACTTCACCTGAGTGACATTAGTGTTTCCTAGCAAATTAATGTGCCCCTGTTTACATTTAAATTTTAACCCCCTTGGCCAGCAAACAGCCTAAATAGCCTAAAGGCCTAAACAGGCTACCATCTGCTTCATTTCTAAGAGAAGGCTACTCCAGCATTTCCACTCTTCTATACAGAAACGAGAAACCTGGCATACAGAGCTCTACAGTAGTTCTCTCCCTACTCATCGTTGTTAAATAAACTTATGATTTATAAATAGCTACTTTGTGGTTATAAAAAATCCATGAAACCAATTAGTTTAAATTAATTGAATTACAAATTTCCAAGCAATATATGGAAATTGCTTCACTAAAGGTTTAGCTTTCCCAAATCTTTTAACTCTGCTATTGTATAATCATAAAAAATTACCATATCATTAGGTCAACTAATTATCTAATAGTTCACTGAAAAAGAACACTTGACTAAGAACTGATGACCTGGATATGATTCAAGGGACATCACTATAATCCAGGAAAACATGATCAAGTTGGTTAATATCCCTTAATCTCAATGTCTTCTCCTCTATCTAAAATGTGACAATGTCTTGTAGACTTTGCTGGGTTATTTGGGGAAGCAAAAGAGCAAATTATTTTAAACTACAAATTACTAGTTATTTATTTCACTGAAGTTAATGAGTGCTTCATAAAAAGAAGCACCAAAAGTTTTTTTGGTAAAAAGCAGAGAAGAAAGTAAAAGTAGAAAATTCTCCCAATGACTTTATAGTTGAGAACTTTAGAGTTTAAAAAGTTCCAAAGTTGCTGGATGCAATGGCTCATGCCTTTAATCCTAGAACTTTGAGAGGTCAAGGCATGTGTATAGCTTGAGCTTAGGAGTTCCAGACCAGCCTGAGCAAAGTAAAACCCCATCTCTACTACAAATAAAAAAACTAGGAAAAAATAAAAATAGAAAAAACTAGCCAGGCACTGTGGTCGGCACCTGTAGTCCCAGCTACTCCGGAGGCTAAGGCAAAAGGACAACTCAAGCCCAAGAGTTTGAGGTTACCATGAGCTATGACATCAAGGCATTCAACCCCAGGGCGATAGAGTGAGATGCTGTCTCTAAAAAAGAAGAAGTTGCAAAGTTATACCATCGTTTTAATTACTGCCTAAAATTTGAACTGTTAAATTTATCTAACAAAACCTTAAAAGGTTAACAATTACAATAAAGAAATGTCCTAGTATGACAGAAAAGAAACATTTACTTATCAAAGAAGAAAAATACATACTTTATAAATATATATATATATATATATATATTTTTTTTTTACCAGGTTTTTCAGGAGCTCACATCCTAAGCCGCCAGCTCCAATAACTAGAACTTTACACGTATCTAACAAGAACTGGAGAGACTGTAAAGAATAGAAAGGCAGATTAAAAACTGGATGATAACCATAAGGATCATCAATAAAGCAAAAACCTTAAAATAGTTTCTGACGTTTCTATAAAAATGAAATTAAGGATAAAGAGCAGATTTTGTAGCTGATCAATTATTTTAAATTCATGAATTAGGTATAACCAGAAATTTTGAAACCCTAATGATTACAAAGAGTTTCAATCTTAATGTTTAAATTGATTTTTATAGTATAACATTAATACTAGTTTAACAAGAACTATCCCTAGTTTTCTTTTTAATTTTTGAAAGGGGATATAAAGCATCAAATTTAGTTATTTAACTGACTTCCTAAAGAAAATATTCAGATCTAGGGTGGTGCCTGTGGCTCAAAGGAGTAGGGGACCAGCCCCATATATTGGAGGTGGCGGGTGCAAACCCAGCCTCCGCCAAAAAACAGCAAAAAAAAAAAGAAAAAAAGAAAATATTTAGATCTTTAAAACAGGACCAGGCACTGCAAAAGTGTTTAAAAGTCTAAAAAATAAGGTAAGAAGAATAACTATTATTCTTCAAACCTTAACAAAACACAAGATGGCAGAAAGAAAAATAGATAAAACTATTAGAAAATAACATGTCAACAGAAATACAACTTGAAACAATCATTTAACACAAGTACCAGTCTTAAATTATCAGGTAAAAAATTTCAAAAGCACAGGAAAATATGGTGTGTTATCCAAAGAAAGGCAGAATTAATATCATCAATTTTGCCCAACAGTTAAAGAGAAAAGTTATTCAGATGAGATATTGGGCCCAATCCAAGAGTTTGCACATTAATTTTTAGGAATAGGACAATACAGTATTACTGTTTCAAAGTAATCTCTTATAAACACAAAAGGACAAATATTTACTATACAGAACATTTTTTTCTGGGCGGCACCTGTGGCTTAAAGGAGTAAGGCGCTGGCCCCATATACTGGAGGTGGTGGGTTCAAACCCAGCCCTGGCCAAACACTAAAAAAAAAAATAAATAAATAACAACCTCAAAGAATATTTTTTCCTACCTTGTAATAAAAAATAATGCATATATAATTAAACATTTGCCTTAAGTCAGACACTATCAGCCCAATATTCTATGCTTGTATCCCATAGCACTCATAATTTTCAACATGTAATTAATTACATTCAATGCTAAGTAAAGACGCCCATTTTAAATATATTTCAAAATTAAACAAATACATTATTTCCATCAAAATTAATTTCTCAAAGCAGTGCTATAAAAAGGAAGTCTCAGAAATCATTTGAAGCTGGAATTTTAAGTATAACTTAGAATTTTAAATGAGATTATTTTTCTCTTCGAAATTTTCAATTTCTATGTCATTATAAATGTGAAAATGACTCAAACATTAGTCATTCAAATAAAATTTGAATATTCAATTTAGTATTTCAAGATAACTTAGTTACATAAAACAATTTTATTAGTATTTTCATAAGAGCAAATTAAAAAGGAAGCACTACCATTTTGAAACATATAACTATTAACAAAGTTATTTAAAAATAAATGTTTCTCACTTCAGTGCTGGGTTCGAAATCAGGGTGTGTGAAGGGTCCAGATCGCTCGAGGAACTTCTTTACATGGTTCCAGCGACCTTCCCAGTCTCCAGTGTCCCCACACCCACCATCAACAGCCATTCTGCACAGAACACAGTAAATTCAGCTGCAAAGATCAGTATGAAAAAGCCATACCTACAGCTATCATGGTTTTCCCAAATGAAAAGGTAAGCATATCAGACCTGCTCAAATAAAAAGGTAAATATTCAACATGGTTATGTTTATGCTTTCAATTTTTTTATCTATAAATCTTTTAAAGTTAAAAACTATACATATTTCTACTTTTGTTTCAACCATCTGATGAAATAAACCAGTCTAATGTTTCTGATTTCCTAAAGAAATCCAAGATCAAACTTAGGACACTGGTATGTGGGTGAGAAATGGACTTCTCTATAATTGATATTTACAAACGATTACATCAAATTTCCCCAATCTGTCCCTTCAACACACTTAGCATCAGGAAATAACAGATACAGGGAGGAAAAAAAGTCACACTTTCAGAATTGTGATGCTTCAAAAGTAATAATATTTATGTGTCCTTTCCAAGTATAAAAGATGTGATTTAAAGATCATTTTTAGTGAGAGGAACTTTGAGACTTTGCTCAGAAAAAAATTCAGGTCATAATTTTCAAAAAACAATCTCTTAATACCATAAGGTGGTTTTTGTTGTCACTAAACACACAAAAAAAGTTTTAAATTACCATTATGCCAGACAGGCATTACTATCTAGAAATCTTTAGAACATACGAGTGAATAGGGCAGGACTCCTCAATTTCTATCTTCAAATATATTAGTAATATTCATTTTTTTACAAAAGGGAGCAAGTAGCCTAGCAATAAAGACCAAAGGTTTTGATGTCAGAGTTGGTTTGGTTCCACAATTAATAACATGGTGACCTTGAGCAGATTACAGACATAAACCTTATCTGTAGGTTGTTCATAGCTACTTCTTAACATCATGAGAATAAAGAGATAATCCACATAGAAGACGTCGTTACATTACTTGGCATACAGTAAGCATTCAAACTTTTAACTCTCATCTCATGCCATTTTACGCAAAAGTAGAAGGGCAATTAAAAGGAGGGAAGGAAAGTGAAACTCAATTTGTCTTCCTTCCAGTACTCCTTCTGTTGAAATTCAACTTTGAGAGGGAGAAAGCACCAAAGAGGTGGTACTGGATGGCATAAAAATTATACAACTCGCCACACCCACTGCAAGACTTTCTTTTTTTTTTTTAAATCCTCCCACGTAGGTAGGAAGGTAGGGGAATTATGTGGCACTGGCCAGGTTATAAAACACACATTGTTTAAATCTGTGTCACCAGCACAAAACTAAGCATCTGATAGGAAACAGAGTGTGTAGTAAAATGGGGAAAGTAAGTTGTACAGAGTCAAAATCCTTCTTTAAGGACCTACTATTTTGTAAAGATGATTGAAGTGCTTAGTACAATACCTGACATACAGAGTTCTCATTAAAAGTTTGCATTTTAGTACTAATGTCTCCTTGTTTACGAAAGACCAAAAAAAAAAAAAAAGGCCCTGTATCCGTTTCGTGTGTGTTTAAGGTGGATTGCCTTTACACAAGGTCACCGTTCTGACAATTTGGGATGGAGGAAGAGTGGGGAGGGCGCAAGGGTCCTTCCGCAAGACCTTTACGTCAGGCACCCCAACAGACCCCTGCACAGGACCCAGGGGCAGTGCAAGTCGGCCACATGCCTGCCCGGGGTAGAGACCAGGAGCGGCCCGCCCGGCCCCTGGGGCTGCGGGACGGGGGTCAGGGGATGAGGCCGCGCGGCCTGCGCTCCGGGTGCCCCCCTCCCAACCCCCCGGGCCCGCTGCGGCTGGTCCCCTAGGCCTGGGGTGAGGGGAGGCGGGGGTCCCCGGAGAGGGCCCCGGCCTCCCAGCAGCACTAACTTCTCAGCCAGCAGCTCCTCTATTCTCCTTCTTTTCTTCTCCCTAAAAGAAAGAGAGAATAAAAGAAGGGTCAGCATCACGCTACACATTGGGCGCCGCGAGAGGATGGGGGGCGAGGAGAGGGGACGGGGCGGGGGTGGGGGTGGGGGAACCCCGGGTGGCGGCGGCAACCGCCCACCGCCACGCTCTCTCACAACCCAGCCCAGCCCAGCACGGCGCGCCTTCAGAGCCCGGGTACTTACGGCTCCTCGCCATCCGCCATATTGTTCTCCGCCTCTTCCCAGATTCCCTCACGGCGAGGGGGGCTGGAGGCGGGGCGGGACTGGAGGGGGTGGGCGGGGCGGGAGGGAGAGGCGGGGGGCGGGATTGGAGGGAAGGGCGAGGGGGCGGGGCTAGAGGGAAGGGCAAGGGGGCGGGACTGGAGGGGGCCGGGGCGAGGGGGCGGGACTGGAGGGGGTGAGAGGGGCGGGAGGGAGGGGCGGGGCCCACTGCGCAGCATCTCTTTCCAGGTTTAAATCTTTTCCCTGTGATTATAATCTTGATTATTTACTACATCTAATTAGAGAAATATTATACCGTGTAGTATGCTTTTACGCAGAGTGAAAATGTAGACTTAAACATATGCTTATGCAGTTTATGTTAATAATTACATAATATGGTGATGTAGTCTATGAAAAACCTCCAGGAAGAACCACCCCAATATGTTGGAGCTTTTCTTTGGGGCAAAGCATCAGAAGTTTTCACTTTCTGCTTTTCGGGATGGTTCCAAATCTTTGCTTATCTAGACACACAATTTAAGAATAAATTTATCTAAGTCAGTTTCATTGGGGTGAGGTGGAGAGATTATTTTCTGTGTGCAAATCAACACTAATATTTTAGTGTCATGTTTCGTTAGGTAAATTCAATGGGAATGGAATTAAATTGAAAACCTTTGATCTGGTTTATATGTATATATCCAGAGAAAAGAAAAAATTACAAAAATAAAGAATAATTTTGTACACCCATAATCCCAGTACCTAAAGGTAAATTATGGTAGAATTTTTGATTATTTTCTTCCAGAGTTAGAAATACACATATATACATGGGATCTGGATAGGTGGATAGAGAAAAATAATCATGTTGAAAAATATATATATATGCCTGTGCACCAGTGTGCGCGCACACACACACACACACACACACACTACCTTTCATGGAGTAGCACTGGAAAGAGATTTGAAGGATTCAGAAGGAACTGCATTTAAATCCTTATTCCTCAGATACTATGAGACCTAGGGCACTGCTGTTCCTTTTGTAAAGTAGAGGTAATGGTGTTCTTTTAAGACTGAGAATTAATAAAACCCACAGTGGTTCTCAAAATACAGTCCCTGATCAGCATCACTTTGGGTTTATTAACAATGCACATTTTCAGACTCACCCTTATGCTTCTGCAAAGCCTGGAGTGATTCTCTGCAGGTAAAGTTTGAGAACAGCTGAAATGGAATATATAAAGCCTGGTGGGTATGCAATAAATGTAGCTACTGTTTCTAAATTGTAATATTTAATCTCTTTTTTGTTCTGTTGTCCCCTGAGCCTTAAAAAAGGCTTGGCTTCTATGATCCCCGCAATTAGGATCAATTCAGTATCATTCATTGAGCTGCAAGTCAGTGCCAGGCAGTGAGTGGGGGAATAGAGTTCACAGTCCATAGCAGGAGACACTAGCATCTTTCTAGGTCACATGTCAACATCAACTCAGAAACCTCTTTTTCTTGCCCAGACAGCTCCACAGATAGAAACCAGTGAAGCTAAATCCTTGCTTATCAAAATGGCCTTTGGTGGCGTGGGCCTTCAACAATGCTACTTTAAGGATACCCTTTAATTAGTGGCAGCCACCTTAGATGGTGAAACCCAGCAGGCACCTTAGGGATCACCTGCTCCAGTCTCTCCCATTTCACATTGGAGGAAACAGACCTGGGGATAGGATACAACTAGTGCACAAAGAAGCCTGCACAGGCATCTGGCCCTTCGTTTGTATGCTTTGGTATTTTAATATATGACACCAGGCATTCACCCACTGATGGGAAATAGCCTCCTGCCTTTGCCAGTAATGAAAGCAACAGATTTATTTTATTTCCAATGGAACAAATCAGCTGCTATGATTTTTAAACACAGAAATACTCAGAATGATGCTGTGCAGAAACACAAGTCCCAGTATAAAATATGGCCACAAGACCTCTACAATGAATCTGACAACACCCTCCTCCCTAACAAATAGCTCTACTAATAGCATTCAAAATTACTGGAATAAAGTAACAACTCAGTATGTGTTCAAAAAAGAATCTAAAGAAAAAGAAGCATGGTTAACATTTTGAAAGAGAGGGAAAAGAGAATTATGCTATAGGCAGCTTTAGCTGATTTTTTTTTCTTTCTGTTTTTTTTTTTTTTTTGAGACAGAGTCTCACTTTATCGCCCTTAGTAGAGTGCCGACCATGGCATCACAGCTCACAGCAACCTCCAGTTCTTGGGCTTAGGCAATTCTCTTGCCTCAGCCTCCCGAGTAGCTGGGACTACAGGCACCTGCCACAATGCCCGGCTATTTTTTGTTGCAGTTTGGCTGGGGCTGGGTTCGAGCCCTCCACTCTTGGTATATGGGGTTGGCGCTCTACTCACTGAGCCACAGGCACCGCCTTAGCTGATTTTTTTTTTTTTTTCTGAGACAGAGTCTCACTATGTCACCCTGGGTAGAGTACTTGGCATCATAGCTCACAACAACTTCAAACTCTTGGCCTTAAGCAATTCTCTTGTCTCAACTTCCCAAATGGCTGGGACTACAGGCACCCACCACAATGCCCGGCTATTTTTTTGTTGTAGTTGTCACTGTTGTTTGGCAGGCCCAGGCTGGATTCGAACCCACCAGCTCTGGTATACATGGCTGCTGCCCTAGTGGCTGAGCTACAGGCTCCAAGCCAGCTTTAGCTGATTTTAAAAAAATCCTTCATTTATTTTTAAACCTGTTTGGAGGTTTAAACAAATAAAAATACTTTGGACAAATATCAATACCATATATCAATTGCCTGTGATTAATGAATAATCATATTGTTATTAATACACTCTTGACAGCTTCTGGTCATGCAATTCCAAGCAGTTGGAAGGTGAAAGTTCTTAGTCAGTTTCTAATGCTCACAGATCTCTCTCTAACAGGTGTGGAGCTCCCACCCTCATTTTGACCCGAGATCATTTACTCAGCTTGCCCACAGTACTGCTTGGTGAAATTCTTAAGCCGCAGGAATTCCTCCACACCCTCTGACTTCCCGTAACTGAACACAGGCCCAGTGTATCTCTATTTAGCATAGCTTTCATTGTCTCATATTTAAGTAGCAGCAAGAAGGCAGGGCCTGGCTGCACCCTTCTCTTCCCTTACCCCTTTATTGTTTTTTGTTTGTTTGTTCCTCTCCTTTTAATCTTCTACTGTGCTTTCACAGAGCCTTGAAAGAACTCAAAATATCTGTTAGCATTAGACTGAATTTTCTCAACTTTTTATTCCCCTATCATACCTACCTAGATACAACCAAAAGAATAAAACTAAGGCAAGATAAATTCTGTGGGCTCAGCACCTATGGCTCAAGTGGCTAAGGCGCCAGCCACATACACCTAAGGTGGCGGGTTCAAATCCAGCCTGGGCCGCCAAAACAACAATGACGACTGCAACCAAAAAATAGCCCGGCATTGTAGCGGGCGCCTGTGGTCCCAGCTACTTGGGAGGCTGAGGCAGGAGACTCACTTGAGCCCAGGAGTTGGAGGTTGCTGTGAGCTATGATGCCACAACACTCTACCCAGCAGGACAGCCTGAGGCTCTGTCTCAAGAAAAAAAAAAAGATAAATTCGGTGGCTGTTTATTAGAAAAGCAGAGAAAACAAAACACATTAAAGCACTCTCTCTTTTTTTTTTTCTTAAGACAGAGTCTCACTTTGTTGCCCTCAGTAGAGTGCTGTGGTATAGCTCACAGCAACCTGAAACTCTTTGGCTCAAGCAATCCTCTTGCCTCTGTCTCCTAAGTAGCTGGGACTACTGGTGCCTACCACAATGCCCAGCTATTTTTTAGGGACTGGGTCTTGCTTTTGCTTAGGCTGGTCTCAAACTCCTGAGCTCAAGCAATCCACCTGCTTCGGCCTTCCAGAGTGCTAGGATTACACTCCTGAGCTACCACACCCAGCCTAAAGCACTCTTACTACCATACAGATGAATCATGGGCTGTACTATTAATAACAACAATAGCAATACCGAACTGCGAGCATTTATTATATGGTAAGCACTTCCTATACAGTACTTCGTTTATCTTCCTGTATGTGGCAGACATTCTATTATCCTCATTTTACACATAAATAAACTGAGGCTCTGGTGAATTAGGTAATTTTTCGAACATCACCAGCCACAGATGAAAAAGGAGCTGAGACTCTTAATTTTACTTTCTCTGACTTTAAACCCTTCCATTTTTCCAGAATCAAGAAAATGGGAGAGCTTATAAATACTTTCCCATTTTTAAACTTTATTCAAAAAGCAGCACCTATGATATATCTTAGTGCTGATTCCACTCAATCATTAAATTTTCCCAAGCACTTATAGTAACTGCTTTCCGAATCAACAAGGAAAATTAAATTATGTCCTCTAGACTTTGCATTGGGTATATTTTATGCTTTCCAAGTTTCTAAAAATTAGTGATGTGAGTAAATTCAGCTTGTTTAAAACAGTATCTATGCAGGTTTAAAGACAGTTATCTTAGAATTCTGCCTACTGCACTATATAATTAACCAAAATACTTTTTTCTTTTTTTTTGGCCAGGGCTGGGTTTGAACCAGCCACCTCCGGAGTATGGGGCCAGCGCCCTACTCCTTTGGAGCCGCAAGCGCCGCCCCCAAAATACTTTTTTCTTATGCATTTGAGATAGAAGTAGTTTTACTGTACCAGCTAGCCCCTTAACTGAAAAAAATGAGCCTTTTGAAGCTTAGAAGAGAATTTACAACTAAGACACCCCTTGTATTTCTTTGGGCTTGAGATACAAAACATCGCCTTATTTATTAAAATACTGCGCTCCCTTAGTGAAAGTTGTCACTAAACATTGGAATAAAACTAACACTCTTTTAAAGTAAAATCCGTATTTCCACCCAAAAATACTAGGTGCAGAACAATTAGTTCACTGCAGACAATTGTTTGCTTTAAAATGTAAAGAACACGCGGAGCTCAGGGCTGAAATGACCAGACGGTTATCACTTTATCTGAATGGCACAGCAGTTCCACAATTTTGCCCGGAGAGAATAGAAAGGGAGACCAACAGGAAAAGTCAAAAAACAACACGCCCTTCTGTTCTGCAAGGCCTTCTTTGCCATTTTTGCCAATCTGATTTCACACAGAGTGACTCATACTAAAACAGAGAACTTGTGAGAATTGCATTCAGATGTGTAGAGGTTAGTAATACCTAGTTTTCAAAACCAGCTCATCTTCCAGTTACCCTATAGTCTTACATTCCATTTCACTTAGATTGGCATCTGAACAGCTGCCAAAATTATTTTCTAAATTAGAGAGAAAACACAAGATTAACACTCAAAAAAAAAAAAAAAAGGAATTACACAGGGGTTAGTTTGTATTTGGACTGCTAAGGAAGGTATTACCACCTCGCTTCAAGGAGGGGATTTCCGCCCGTTGCTTTCTGCCATTTCATCTCTATTCTACAGTCAGTCCCTAGCTCTGACGCGAGAGGTCCCTGTTTTCCGGTAATCACTTAGAGCCAATCGAGAAGTAAAGAAGAGCAAACACGCCCGCCTGCTTCCAATTTCCGTTGCTTTGCTGCCTGCCAACCGCAAAGCCAATCGAGACGCTGCCGCTGTCATCTTTCTAACCCCGCTCAGCTGATCGGTTGCCGCCGCCGCCGCCGCTGGATTCCGGAGGCAAAGAACGCCCAGCGAAGAACATGGACGTGACTATCGCCCCACTCCGCGCCTGGGACGATTTCTTCCCGGGCTCTGACCGCTTCGCCCGGCCAGACTTCAGGGACATTTCCAAATGGAACAACCGCGTGGTGAGCAACCTGCTCTATTACCAGACCAACTACCTGGTGGTGGCTGCCATGATGATTTCCGTAGTGGGGTAAGTGGGGTCCCCCGGGTCACCGATTCCGGGTCCGCACAGATGGGGCTCAAGGCGCGAGATCCCGGGAAGTAGAGACGCTCTGTCCACGCTCAGCGTCTGCCCTGGCAATTCTGCAAGCGGCCAAGTCAGTGGAAACTTGTGCGCAGGGCGAGGCCGCAGTAATCTGGAGAGGATCCTCTTTCTTTTTCTGCGTCAAGGGCTGAGACGTGAGTGGGCCCCTTAGGGAAGGAGGATGGGGGAAATTTTGCCAACCTCAGGAAGGAAAATGACTTTTTCCCCCTTTGTGCCTGGATCAGGCTCTCCCTGCCGAGATATTTACAGAGTCCTTGACTTTAAAAAAACAAAAAGAAAGAAAGAGAGAAAGAAGGATAAGAAAAGAAAACACAAAGGTGTACGCTCATCCTGGAACTGGCCGAAACAAGGTGTGGATCCGGGGCGGTGGTGTAAAAGGGCAGCTAAGTGGCGAGGCGCTTTGTTGCTCTGCCTAGTGCCTGCCACACTACAGGAAAACTGAGCTTGGAAACAAGAGGGTGGGTGTCCCCTACGGGTGCATCTTTCAGTGTGAGGTGCCCTGCCTCTAGGAACAGGGCCCTCTAGCTTTTTCTTCCAGGAGTTGCCAGGCGCATCCACCTTCTCTGTCTTCACCACTTAGCCTAGGGTCTCTGTGTATCTTAGGGCCTTTTCAATACCTGATACTTAAAAGTATCCTGTGTTAATTAAGACTGCGCACACACAAATTAACAAACCTGTCTAGAAACTACCTTGCCTTGTGCTCACCCTTTAAGAAATGCATGTATCACTTTTGCTGTATGGGTGGTAACAATCTCCATCTTGTTGATTCCTACACATTTTTAAAGAAAAAGCCACCGTTAGACTTTCTAAAGGTCTCACTTGCCCTTAAAGAAGTGCCTGACATTCCTATTTCAGAGCAAACACAGAAAGAGCAAGCTGGCTCGAAAGAAAAAGGAGAAATTCAAATTTGGGAGGTGTGGGAAAGGGTGAATAGAACGGTTTTCTAAGCTGGCTTGCTGTTAGTTGGTGTGTTTATTGAGCAACCTCTCTGTGCCAGGCCCCATGCCAAACTCAGCACACACCAAGATGAATCAGACTTGAATTCTGGCTCAGGGGCTGGTGGCAGTTGGTGAGAAGCTAAAGGAGCAAATATACAGCACAGCAGAGAAAGGAAGAGCTCACAATTTCTGGGTGTGGCTCATAGCAGTCACCTCATGGAAAAGTGGAAGCCCACATGTAGGACTGTGTAGACAGTTACACAGATCCTCATTCTGCTTTGCTTAAGAAAGCTCTGGGAATGGTTCCGTGTATAAAGGGCACTGGCTCTGAGCAGACTCCACTAGAGTGGCAGTCAGTGTACAATTTGGGTAGGGCTGGCCTGAGGCCTGATGTAGCTGCTGCCTTATAAACCTGCTCCTAGCTCTGCACTTGAGGCTTCTTTCCTGCAATATGAAAAAAAAAACCTTTATTAAAACTAAATAATTAGTAAGTAGGTTTGCATCCATTGTTTTGTTTGGTTTTTTTTCTTTCTCTTTGCAAAGAAGCAGAAGGACACCTTATCTGGTGATCTGTTAGGGGAGTATTTTCTTGATAGAACTCCAAGAATTTAGACAAGAGCAAGATTTGACATAGACCAATCAAATGTACAGAAAAAAGTTTTGATTTTTTTTTTTTCCCAAAGAGGTGCACTGCTCAGACCAGATACTATCTCTGGCAGCCTTGCTGCGTTTATGAAATCCGTTTAGTGCTGGGAGGACCCAGGGCTGGCCTCTGGACTAAAGAAAGTTCTCTCACTATGGTGTCTTAAGCCATTAACTCAGGTAGTTTAGGAGTATTAGCCCTTCTCATTCTGTTTTCAAATATATGTTTGTTTGTTTTGTCTCACTATGTCGCCCTCAGTAGAGTGCCTTGGCATCACAGCTTACAGTAACCTCAAACTCTTGGGCTTAAAGATTCACTTGCTTCAGCCTCCCAAGTAGCTGGGACTACAGGTACCTGCCACAATGCCCCACTATTTTTTTGTTGTTGCAGTTGTCATTGTTGTTTAGCTTGCCTCGGCCACGTTCAAACCTGCCAGCCTCAGTGTATGTGGCCAGCCCCATAACCACTGTGCTATGGGCACCGAGCCTCAAATATATGTTGATTGTTATTTTTTTTATTTTTTTTTTTTTTGAGACACAGTATCACTCTGTTGCCCTGGGTAGAGTGCCATGGTGTTATAGCTCATAGCAAACTCACATTCCTGAGTTTGAGCAATCCTTTTACCTCAGCCTCCAGAATAGCTGAGACTACAGGCACCCTCTACAACACCTAGCTAGTTTTTTTGTTTTGTTTTGTTTTTCTATTTTTAGTAGAGGTGGGGTCTCACTTTGCTCAGGCTGGTCTTAAATTCCTGAGCTGAGGTGATCCACCCACCTGAGCCTTCCAAAATGCTAGGATTACAGGTGTGAGCCACCACACGTGGCTGAGTTTTTTGAAGGAAAATGCAAAAAGTAGCCAAGAAGTTTTTAAAAAATTGTTCGTATTTTTAAAAACTTATACAAGATATAGTCCAGCAGTAAAAGTAGTCTTGAAAATTGCATGTGTGGGGAGGCGCCTGTGGCTCAGTGAGTAGGGCACTGACCTCATATACTGAGGGTGGTGGGTTTGAACCCGGTCCTGGCCAAACTGCAACAAAAAAAATAGCCGGGCATTGTGGCAGGCACCTGTAGTCCCAGTGACTTGGGAGGCTGAGGCAAGAGAATTGCCTAAGCTCAAGAGCTGGGGGTTGCTATGAGCTGTGATGTCATAGCACTCTACCAAAGGTGACAAAATGAGACTCTATCTCTAAAAAAATAAATAAATAAAAAATAAAATGTACAGTGCTTTAAAAAAAAAAAAAGAAAAGTGCATATGTGCAAAATGTGAAATTTCTTTCATATTCCAGTGAAAGCTTGGTGTATAACTTTCAACTGGGTTTGATGCATCTTCAAATACACAGTCTGTAGGTTTTTTCCACAAATTGCTCTTTTTTTCTTTATAATTTAATAAGCATTTATTGAGTCCCTTGTGTGCCAGGTATCTTACAAAGTATTTTACCTGTATTATGTCATGCAACACAATAAGTAAACTGTTGTTGTTATTATTATTACCTTGAGAGTCACAGAGGCTAAATGATTTGCTCAAAGTCACTAACTTAGTCTCATGCTGTTAATTACTATGCTATCTTCCTGTGAGTCATAAGGAGGAAACCAAATGTCTTCAGGGTCAAGGAGGTTAGTTGCACATTTCTCATTCTAAATAGAACTGTCGTCCATTGGTGGTGCTAGTAGATGGGTGGCTCTAAGCAGTGCTGGATCTAAAGGCTTCTGATACGGTAGAAGATTCTATGTGAAAATGTGGCCTGAAATTACCTGGGGAAGGGACTGTACTCAAAGAGTTTTTCAATGGTTCTACTCTATGCTGGTGAAGAGACACCTAAAGGGCATTGCTGGAGGGGCACTAGCCTCAGTTATCCTTGTTGAAAGCTGTCTTGGGTGGGGATAAAGAGGGCCTGCTCTTCAAGATTGTAGAAAGCAAGAGGGAGGACCGCAGCAGATATAATCTATTAATAGATCCAGAAATATTGGCAAGAACTTCCTATGCCAAGTTGGAGATAAAGAAGAATTAGGATAGAGATAAATCTGTGTTTGAAGTCCTAAACAGGCAAAGTTTGGTGATCTACAGAAGTTTCATCTTTATCCTAAAAGCATGGTTTACCAGGCTCATGACTTCTATTCAGTACATCTGCTATTCCTTTTAGATTAATTCTGGTTAAATGTCTTAGCTAATAGCTCTTCTTAAAGATAGGTTTTATAACTTAGTTCTTCAAGTTCTATAATGCTGATTAAGAATCTAGCCATTAGTGCCAGACTGAGTTTGAATCCCAAATGCCAGTCACAAGCTGTGCGACCTTGGGCAAGTCACCCTGTGCCTCAGCTTCCTTTTCTGTAGTATAAGACTCAATATAGTACGTATGTCATAAGGCTTCATAGGCAAAGCTTTTAGAATGGTGCCAGCGTCCTGTGTTTCTGCTTCATAAGCTCTTATTTTTTTTTAATCGTTTCTTGATGTTATCTGAGAAACACAGATAGCATCTCTATAGGAGCGATGCCATTCACCAAAACCCTAGTCCCCAGCTTTTTCACCTACTCCTGCTTCTAAAGACTCAGCTTTGGTACCACATCTTTGAGGAAACCTGCTTTGTTCCTCATTCACTCCCTGTGTCAAGTGGCCCCATACCTGGTGCCTGGGTCTTACTTACCACATAGATTTTTAAGTGGTTGACTTGTCTCTACTCTGAAGACTCCTTTAGGCTGTAGGTTTTGTTTGAAAATTTTTTTTCCTTTTCTTGTTGCTGTTGTTTACTTCTTCATTTGCTTGTTTTAAGTCAGAGTCTCACTCTGTCATCTTGGGTAGAGTACTGTGGTGTCATAGCTCACAGCAACCTCAAACTCTTGGATTCAAGTGATCCTCTTACCTAAGTTGGGACTGCAGCTGCCTGCCACAATGCCCACCTAGTTTTTCTATTTTTAGTAGAGATGGAGTCTTGCTCTTGCTCAGGCTGGTCTCGAACTCCTGACCTCAAGCAATCCATCCGGCCTCTGCCTCTCAGAGTGCTAGGATTACAGGCATGAGCCACCGTGTGCCTGGCTTGTTTCTGATATTATTCTTGGTATCCTGGAGGCCTTCTATACAACAGATGTGTAGTTGGTGAGTGCAGAGTTAGTAAGTGAACATAAGGTCTTAGCACAATGACGGGGCAACTTTTGACCTAGTGAACAGTACAAATTATTTTGAAGCTCATAGCAGTGTGCCAGCACATAGCTACAAATGCATTCTTCTAAAATGATTCTAGCTGAGTCATTGCTGAAGGCACTATGCTACATATTGTTTAGGATTACTATAGCTGTGTAAAAATTTAACTTAAAATGTTATAATTCAGACCCTTCACAACTTTGTGTTGT